GGCGGTTGTCTCCTCCTCTCTCTCTCTCTCTCTCTCGAGGTCATCTTCCCCTCGGATCGGATCAATGCGCTACAATTACGCGATTGTCTGACCCGCGCCCTTCTTGTTATGTGTGTGCGCGTATGTGTGTGTGCATGTATGTCCGCACCCATCCTTGCGAGGGAGAGGGAAGGAAGGGGGAGGGAGGAAGAAGGAGGAGGAGAGGGAGAGGGAGCCGCATTGTCCTCCTCGGTTATTACATTCGGTGTTACATGCTTATATAGGCTCTCCTGAATTTCAGCTGTAATTACCTCGATCGACGCTTGTTGTCTATAGACTAAATACGTGTTCCAAACCCTCCTCCTCCTCCTCCTTCCTTCTCCCGTTCAAACTATAATTAATTTGTTATCGGTCGGTCGGCCGGCCAACCACCCGGCTGCTGCTACTCGTCGTCGCGTTCCGTTGTTATTATCAACCGAATATCGGCGCTGTTGATATCTTCGCTTCTCCCTGCTTTCTTTCCACGAGACGTATATATATATTTTGCATTATATTAAGCGGGAATTCGGATCGAAAATGTTCTTTTCCCTTTCCCCGATCGTTGGCAATTGCAAAAACGAGACGGAGTGGAAGATTCGAAAGAGATTCGAAGATGCGAAGCGATCGATCGAGAGGAGAGAATTAACGAGAATTGACAAGGAGGGAGGAGTGGAATTTGGTTGGAAAGTGGGCGATCGTAGAGAACGGTGAAATATGTGGAAAATTTGTCCTTTCATGGTGGATCCTTGGTGTGGACGCCGTTGCAAACTGGCCCGGTCGCGTAAAATAAATTGTGTTCGTTGTAGGATGCGAGAGGAGGATGCGAGGAAATCTAATTGTCGAGCGCGCGCGTTCATAGAGCGACAAAGTTGCGAGAATGGCCAACGTTATGCGATTAAATCTCTTTATCGTTGTTTGTGGCACGGCGTTCGGCCATGCGCCTCTGCTGCGATCGAATTAAAATCGATCGATCGAAGCGAGCGCGTTCGGAGGAGCAAAAAAAAAAAAAAAAGGAGAAGAAAAAAATATTAATCGATCGAAAAATATATAACGAATATCGAATCGAGAGTTCGACGACATTCTCGTTTCGTTGGCCGATTCTACTCAGAAAGGCGAGGAGAGAATTCATTTCGACGAATTTCATCGCTTGGAATATATTTTAAACACCAAGATGTTTATGCACGAGCGGCAAATTGATCACACGAAGGAATTATCCCCGTCGAGAGAAAAAGATTTTAAGATTTTCCGTTTCCGCAGATCCACGATATTTCGAACGACGAGAAATATCGAAATAATTTAATCGGATCGGAAGGGAAGGATTTAAACGGGACGGAGAATTTATTATTATTTGTCGGGTGTCTTTTCATCGTGCGTCGTGCGAACGAAACATTGAACGTGGCTGGGTTAACAAACCACCCAGGCTCGTTAACCGTGATTCTCGTTTCTCCCCGGCGGGGGAATGGCGCGGCATATTTTAATAACGATCGCGAGGCAAAGAGGAAGCCGCGGATACGGGTCGACCGTTCGTATTTGCGTGGAGGAAGGAGAGGAGGCGAGGGAAGGAGGAAGAAGAAGAAGAAGAAGAGGAAAAGAAGGGGGGGGAGAGTTAACGACCGGTAAACTGGACGGACTACACGGGAAACCCATTTGGCGAAGGGGACGATTAAAATAAGAGGCGTGGACGGCCGTGCACGCACGACGTTCCACGCGCGCGCACGTATACACGCACGTCTCTGGCCGAGCCTCTGTTGAATTGAAAGCTCCCCTATCGAACCGAGCATGATCGGGGTTTCAGAGTACGATCCCCTTTTCGACGACGTGGAATATCCGGTCGAATCGATTCTTACCACCCCGATGTTTCCCTCTTTCAGCCGTGGCCACTCTCTCCACTCTCCCCTCCCCCCCGTGTCACGCGACACGGCCAACGCCCACTTTTCACGGCCGACGAAAGCTACGGAATCCGATCAATAATCGCAGGCTAACCAATTGTTTGCCACGCGTAAGTGGACGCCACGATCCTCGTTAGTTTCTTAGACACCGAGCAGCCCCCCTCCGCTCTTTCGATTCTCGAGCACGATTCTCCTCGCCTCTTCGCAAGTAGATCGGTCGACGAACAAACGTTCTCCTAAGAGAAAAGAATTTTAGGCAATTTGAAACTCGTTTTAATCCAGAGAAACTGGCGAAACACTCTGGCCAGGAGGAGGAGGTTCCTGAATGAGCGAAAGAATCGAACGGATGGAAGGGAGGAGTGGCAATAGGTTAATGGATGTGGCAGGCCTGGAGGAATACGATGTCCCAGAAGAGCGACGAGGGGGGGATGACGAGGCGTATGCCCATTATTTACACGGCCTCCTTTCTGGAAAAGAAAAAAAAAAAAGAAAAAAAGAAAAAAGAAAACAAAAGAAAAAAGGGGACCACCTTCTCTCCTTCGATCTTATAAAGATTAACGCGTATTTTTTAACCGGGCAAAGGGTAAAGAGTATAGCCACGAAATCACCAATCTCGGCCTGATGTATCGCGAGGGGATTTCTCTCGCTGCTTTCGCAAACAAGCGCGCGGAAAAACGGGGCTAAAGGAGGAGGAGGAGGAGGAGGCGCTCCGTGAGATCGAGCAAATATTGTCGCTTCATATATGCTTTCTGGTATCCGGGCGGCGTAGAAAAACCACGATTAAACGCCGGATGGGAGAAAAAATCCGGTGTGCCCCGTCGAGTGTGTCATTCGTTCGATCGACGAGTCGATGATTCCATTCGTTCGATCGATCCTGTCTTTCTTTATTGCGACGAGTTGGATGAACGAAGAGAGAGAGAAAATGACCAAAGTAGCAGAAATTGGGAGAAACTCGAGGAATTCGGTGAACGAGGGTTGGAAAGGCGGGTGGTAATCGGTGCGCAATCGGCATCGATGATCATCGAAGTGGTCCAATTAAAACGAAGGCAGGTGTAATTGAAGTGCGCGCACGGAACAACCGGTTAAGTCGTGTTAAAGCTGCGAGGGAGAAACGATTTGACGGTTCGAAGGGCACACGCCCGTTCTTCTACTCGGATCTCGCGAATTACTTTCCAATTAAGCCGAGCTTCCACTCAATTTGGGGGAAAACGATCCTTCTCGAGGTGGATTTTCGAGAATCGGTACGAGATTATGACGGCCAGCCACCAGTTTGACGATCTACGATATAAATTTTCTTTCTTTCTTTCTTTCTTTCTTTTTTTAATTAGAACAGAACAGAATTTAATCGCGCCAGATTCACTTTTCGAATTAACACCGATTTTCTCCAGGAGACGAAGAGCGAGGACCAGCCAGGATGCTTTGATTAAACGTTGGATAATTGGCCGAGTCTGTTTGATTCTGTTTCCTCGGGAATTTCATCAGATCGGGAAGTTGTACCTACCTCCCTCCCTCTCTCTCTCTCTCTCTCTGCTTGGGTTTAATATTCGCGCGCGATGTATCGAATTTACGGGGGGGAAATAAAAAGGAAAATTCGCTTCGAAAACTCGTTGGCCGAGTGGATTAATCGACACTGGATTCCGACAATTTTCTTCTAAATTAGTCGGTGATTGGATTACAGGAACGGGACAGAGGCCGGCCTCGCTTTCGGATAAACAATTAAACCGAAGCTCCGCTGTCGATCGCGCAACATTAACGGTCCCGCAGCTGCGCAACTTGGGAGGAGGAGGGGAATTATTTCGTTCCGGGGTAAATCGAAACCGGGGAAATTACGCTTCTCGATCGAGTTAAATCGAAACGCGGGCAAAGCGAAACGAAACGAAATCCCGTTTTCCATGCTCGAAGGAAGAGGGAGGGATGGATCGAGGCGAGTAAGGATTCCTTAGAAGAAATAGTCGCTCGATCATTCATCCATGATGAGAATCATTCACGAGGGAGAAAATTTTTATCTCGCGTTTCTTTCCGCAAATCGATCCAAGACTTTTCGCGTCGACGGCAATTTTTCATCGAGCAGCAGAAGAAGAGGAGGGGGACGTGACTCGTTTAATTCGTTCCTCCATCACTGTCAATTAGCTCGCGTTGCTCGTCGAGCAATTAGGGGACGCGAAAATACGGCGATACATGGTATCGCGGCGCGATTCGAGGAGACAGGCACGGTTGTTAAGAGGTAATGTTACTCGGTGTGGATCGTGTTCCTTCGTCGTTATCGGCCGCTCCGCGATAACCAAGACTTTTGCTCATTAGGATCGGGTGGAGGAAGTTGGTTCGATAGCGCGATTCCAACTCACCCCGCTTCCCTTTAAGAAGAAGAACTCACGG